TTTAAAAAAAAAAAAAAAAAAGGCAAAAGTCTTTAGATGTATATTTTTCAAAAGAGATGAACTGGAGAAAAAAAATAGTAGTTATTAATTTATATATTCGTTAAGTTTTAAAGGATCTCAAAAAAACTATTGTCTTGTGGATTTAGTGAAATTATTAATTTAGTCTACTGGCCCAAATTAGGATCGAAGAATATTATTAATTAAGCGAGATTATTTACTTATCGAAAATTCATTTATCGAGGTTTTACTGTATGACCTTGTGCGATTTGTAACTAGTACGTAAGTGCAATTATAAATTGTGTGTTAGTGTAACCTTAATATATTTAGTTATTAATAAGTCACAAAATTGTTATAAGATAGACACATTTGTGACCACCTAATTTTTGAAATTTTTCCGTAATTTTATTATTTTTAAAAATGTCTTGAAACTTTTGTAGTTATATTTTTTTACCCTTTTTTGAAAAAGAAATAAAAATTAATAATCATCCAATCATATTGAGGGCACACATTTCCAAAATGGTAAATGATCTTACTCGAGAAATCAATTTTAAAATCCATGTGATCATACCATAGAGTACATTTGTGCACTAATTCTCAGGGATATACTCAGCATATCCCCTTTTTGGTGCTATAATAATCCATTAAGCATGAACAAATGGCTGACGTCTTGAAAATGACCTTTATGTGTTCGATAAAATGCTCCAAAAACCACATTCTGAGCCGGTAACTGTTCACAGTTATCCAAAGTTACCATCAGCAACAGTAAGATTCCAAAACCCATGTTCAAACGGCCCTACCTGTCTCCCATCTCCATTCAAGGCCCACCACAAAATTCCACAGCAAAATTTGACTTTTTTGGTATGAAAATAATTGATGGGGGCGTCACTTACGGGCTCTGCTATTCAAACAGGGGCCATTGACAAGGGACTAAGCAGGGACTGAGGTGGATGAGTAGCATTAGTGGTCACTTATTCCTGGGGATTTTCACCATTTATCAAGAAATCAATGTAGTTTGCGACCTCGGAGCATGTTTGGCTTAGCTTGTGTTAAGGAAGAAGCATAAAATGAAAAACTTGTTCGTGTTTTTCTTGATAGTGTGAGAATTTGGGTACTTGGTTTAGGAATGGCCAAGAGTCGAATTGTAGTTTAACTTCTTTATAGTGTATCAATGTGTTCTGTGTGATTGAAATGCTTGAACTTTTAGAAAGAAATTGGGATTGGTTATAAACAACTTAGGACATGTTTGGCTTCCTTTAAAATTTTAAATTATTTGTTATAATATCATTTTCCACTACACATTCACACAATAAAATATTCTACACTTAAACCAATAATTTTTTTTAAAATTTTTTAACTGAACATTCTTCAAAAAATAGTGTTCAAAACTTTTTAATTTCCCAAATAATGGGTGACAAATAGGGGGCTTAATTTCGAGTTTGATTTCTTCTTAACCTGATCAAAGTGTACTATCTTTAATTCGACTACTTGTAAATTCATATGTAATTTTACTTAAAAGTAACTTATATTGATAGTAAAATATATGACAAAATAAACAACTTAAACCTAACCAGATATTTTTCAGACCATAAATCATATAGATAAATCATGAATCCATGCGTGCTAGTTGACAACATGGAGTCATTCGATCAAAATTTCTTTATTTAAACAAGAAACGAGAAATGTTCAAAGCCAAATTCTTTTGAGTAATGCTATTCATAATTACTCATTATGGTAATCGTCCTACGTGACATCACACGTCATGATTTGTGATTTGATACATTAACGTGTTAATTTTTTTTTTTTATCTCATGCATCAAATTACTAACCGCCACATATATATCACAAAAAGCGACTATGATAGTAAATAACTGCAAATAGCATTATTCCAATTCTTTTTGGTACAAAGGGATCAATAATTGTCGAGAATTGGATTTTAAGAAAGGAGCATTAAAACCGAAAGATTCCATGATTCATCCATTGTCCTGTAACAACCAACTACCACATTTAAGTACATATCTTTTACCAGCCAAATCAGGTTAACAGGAAAATGGTCAAAAATTGAAAGGTCTGCATCCATGGCCATTTCCTAAAAAATTTAAATAATGCTGTTTATTGGTATTAAATGATAAACTAAATGAAAGGTGGAATTAAATGATCCATTTAATTTCGCTTATCATTTAATATCACATTAGCGTCATATAAGCGTGGGTTATAACGAAAATACATTTTAAAATTTTCTCAATTTCCAATTAAATCCCGAAACTCTTTCTTCTCTCAATTCTAAAATTTATGTGTTTCATTCATTCAACTCGATCCCAAACCTATTGTCCATTCGCCGACATCTCACCCATAAATATTGTCACCATTGCCGCCTCCGTCGCCTCATTTTCTATGAAAAAACTCCTAGTCGACTCCAAACCGACTTGTCATTTTCGTTTTCCTTTCTTCTTTCACTTCTTCTTTTGAATTTTCAATTTGACCAACATACTGGATCTCTCATTTTAAGGGCAAAAAAGTTGTATTTTTTTAAGGCAGAGAAGTTATTGAGAGAGTGAAGATTTGCAGATTGTTCTCGAAATTGTATTAAAATCGGAATTTGTGAAATATAAGAAGAATAGGCAGAAGAACATGATAAATTATTGTCTGTTAAATGAAATAAAAAAAAATTTAAAATGTTGTTCCCTATTTCTCTTCTTTTTTCATTTATTATATGGATTCCATTTAATATTTATTCACATCTGTACATTGTTTTTCTATTAAAGTTTTCAGGTATATAAATGTTAAAAAAATATAAATTTTTCTGAACCATTTCTTAATTGATTGTTGGACAAATGTTGACACTGTTTAATCTGTAAATATGGAGGAGTGGAAGCTGGTCTTTCATTATGTTTCTTCTTCTTGTTTGATTTTTTTGATGATTTAGAATGTTTATGTCTTCATGCAATTTTGAATTTTGTATACCAAATGTCGAAAATATATGAAGTTAACATGTAGATGTTAGAATTGATGGTCTTAATATTGTGGTTAAACTTTGAGTCTAAAACTTATGATTTCTAAAGTGGTAAAAGGAATTTCAAATTGGGAGTTTTACATAATCTTTAGTTTGTTGAATGAAAGTGTGAGTTTTCGAAGGTCAAATATCGAATTTTGGACATCAATCGAGTTAGCATGTTAAATATTGAGTTTAGTAAAATATCTCAAGTTTGCTATGTAAAAATCAAGTATGATGCGCAAATATTGAGTTTGCTGTAAAAATTTCGAGTATGCTACGAAAATATCGAGAGTTTGCTTAGGTACTTAACTTCAAATGCGTATAGCTTTTAATCCACATCTTTGAATTGCAATCTATTTTCTGCATTGAACTCTAAATTCAATTATCTTATCGATGGTACATTATTATGAAAAGTTGTACCCTAATTTCTTCACATGCTTCGCTTGTAATTTCCTCATTTAAGCCTCTTTTGGTCCTTTTATGCCCAAACTTCCTTCTTTTTGCATCAATCAATTCAAATTACGTTTGTAGCCTATAAAGGCAATATATACATATAGTATATTAAGTAGAAATGCACTTAATCCGCTACAAAATTCGAGATTTAACAACTTTAAATTTTCTATAAAATTCGAGAATTCTCACAATTTAGAAATTTTCCATCATTTCAACATTTCACAACATCTTGAGATTCTTCGATTTTAGAGTTTAAAAAAAATGCAATTCAAAATTATGAATCAAAAGTCATGTGCATTTGATTTTTGACACTCGAGCTAACTCGAATTTTGCTAGCGTACTCGAGATTTTCATACCAAACTTGTTGTTTACCCAGCATACTCAACTTTTACGTAGCAAATTCAAGGTTTCCATAACAACTCGAGATTTGACCTACTAACTTGACAGATGTCTACGAAATTCAACATTTTGACCAGCATCCATTCTATAGTTTAACATTAAGACTAAAATTCTAGATTTACATTAAAATTATATGTTTGAGTTCGTATATATACAATTCAAAATTTGATTTTCTACAAGGCATTTTCGAGATTCTAATTTCAATTTATTATATTAATAGATTTCATGTAGTTATCTAGTATTTGCCTCTAAAGTATTATCACTTGGTCAATAGGATATATCACTAACAATACTTCTCTTGAGCACCCAGGACACATCTCCAAGTGATAAAACGGGAGGGTGGAGAAATCTAGCTTTGTTTGAGGTTATCGCGTCAATGGTTCGAATCCTGAAATATGGATTTAACTCTTGAATAAGTGCAAGTGTACAAGCAGCCTTCCACCCTGTACCCTTGGAAGCATAACCTGTGATTTACCTCCCTCATGCTCCAGGACAGGAGCAGTGGAGGACCCTTAAGGTTGGGGTTCAACCTTTAACAATACTTCTCTTGAAATCTATTGGTTTGGCCTCAAAATTTGCACGCATACCATTTGTAAACTTTAATCATAAAAAGACTTCGACCATTTTTACAAAAGGTTTGTATGTAATTGCACCTCAAAAAATTACCTTTTGCAAAGTCTTCCTAAATTGACCACAACCGCAACTCAAACTCTGGCAACAAATCAAGTTTCCCCTTATATTAACAATGCACATGTAGAACACAAGTAAATATTCAATGTAAGAATGAAAATCAAAACACAAGATCACCGTGCGAATTGTAATGGCAGTTTCGAGTCCTTTTTCCATCCATCATCAAGAGTCTAACCATCATCTAAACTGGACCATTTTCTCGATTTCTTATGAAAAACTAGGATTGCAGCCAAAAAAAGTTCACAGTGGACAAAAATATAAAGACAAGATTCTCACATTAAGAAAGCAACTCCACAACCAGCAGTATTAGCCAGAGCCATTTTCAAAAGAAGAGGCCATAGTAAGGTCGGTCAATCATCAAAAAATGTGACCTGAGTCTCAGGGAAGAACATCAACCAAGTAGTGTTATTAAAGGATCATTGTCTCATATGAAGATAAAGAAGCCAAAATATAAACATGCGCGAGAAAAAAAATGAAAGGGAAAATATGGTCAATTTATTCGGAGTTTTGTCAATGAGGTTCCATAGGTACAAATATAGACAATGAATTAGTACATTAGAGGACCATGAACACCATGACACTACTTTCCCTTTCCTTCTGTTTCTGATGATCTGTTAGTATATAGTAAGTTAAAGCTCTGTTATGATACAGATCATTAGTCTACAGTCTAAACTGGTTCACCTACTGTTTTTACAAGTAACCATTTAATTTTAAACCTGCAAGTTTCCTATGATTTTTCCATCATCTTTCCCAGTATTAAACAAGAAACTGCAGAAGTCTTGCAAAAGCAAATCTAAGGTTTGAGTTTCACCCATTCATAACGTCCCGGGAGGGGCGTCTCAGTCAATGGATCAAAGTTGTACCTACAGAACAAACAGTGTGGGGGATTCAGATTAGTATGATGAACATTTTTGTTACATTAGAAATTTTGCAGAGATAAGAGTAGTCGTACTTCTCAATAAATTGCTTATGCTGATCATTTTCTGCACAGGAAAAAAACTCGTTCATTTCATTTGCAGTCAGGATGTCTCTTGACATTGGGTTTTGCATTCTGCTGTCGGCATCATTTCCAGCAGTAGGCCTGTTACTTGAACCAGGAGTTTTGATGGAACCTGAGTCCCTAATCAAGCTGCAAGGCGTGCTTTCCCTAGTGGTCCTGCAAAATAAGAATGTTAACCCCATTAATATATTTCAGGAGCGGTGAAAAATTATCAGTTTCTTTATCTTTCATCTTATTTCTCGTCACTCCTCTCTGTTCCAATCATGTGGCATGTGCCCACATTCATTTTCGACTGGTACATGTACCAGACTTCACAATTAAGATATAAGATACCATACATCGTGCTACAACAAATGCAAAGCATTAAATGACCACGACGTTTTACTTGGTAACAGACTTGCAGTAACTGCAGACTTGCTGATTCTATTTTTTAGGCAAAAAAAGTGACATAAATAGACATTGGGTGATTTCCCTATCCTACAGGTAATTTACATGAGTACCGGAGAATACCAGTTATGATAAAGAAACACAGCAGAACAAGCAAGCCACCGAGAACATTTTTTTTTAAAGATGGACACACAAAAGGTTATGATGCATTCAGTAACCAGAATCGACTAGAAATTGTAACTGGAAAAGGAAATAAAAATGGCAGAACCACTTTACTTAACTTGAGGTAGCATAATATAAAAAGTTACAAATGTTTTTGTGATTGTATCAATGGTTAACCAGTGGAATAACACAGTTTTGCATCTGAAAACGTTTATGGATTACGAAAGGTGTTGTGCTTTTAGATTCCCCAAAAGGCGCAGGACCTGATAGAAACAGCAAAGTTTAAAAATCGAACAAAAACGAAGTCAAGCTCCAATTTGATCCCCAGAAGATACAAAATCTCCTGTCATCTGGGATTTTCTCGGCAGCAAAAGAGATCAAAAAATTATAATAGCACTTTAGTCCAAGTTCGAAATAATTAAGATATCCCGATAAGCGAAACATAATTACTCTCAACCATACACCAAAAATGTGATACGAAGATAATTACATATTTATAAATAGAAAAAGCTAAGTCCTACAGAAGATGGAAGCAGCTTGAGATGAAAACAAAAACAAATAGATAACAGAAAAATCAGATAAATCTATTTCAAGCTCCAAGTATAACCAGCTTAATATGTTCATTAAAATTGAGAGAAAAATGAGTTCTTCCACATTTCACAGTTTCTCTTATCAAATTTGCAAAAAAATTCATTTACCTTTCACCCTGCTTCTAACAGTAAGAATCTTTATTTGATTTGAAAATTGTTTTCAAAATTAATTAACCAAATGTATAAAAAGAGCAAAATCTTAAGCTAAAAAGCTCACACAGTTAATTTAAAAAAATGTAAGCACATTTTAAATCACATCTAAAACATAACAAAACTAAGATCCAGAAAAAATAAAATCACAAATCCAGACATAATTTCAAGAATTTTCCCATCTTCCATACAGATTTTCACAATTAACCAGAAGCGTTGCGTAAAAATCATTAAAACATAGAAACCTTGTGCATGCAACCAAAAAACCCATTTCAACTAACTAAAAATTTCGAAGATTTTTGTTAGCCCCACACAGAGAACCTCAATCAGAAATTAACTCAACTATTTTACTATTGAAACATAAACAATAGTAGCCCCAAATTTTAGCTTTCTATAAATTTCTCACTTTTTTTAAATCAAACTGAGCTTTATTGTAGCCCAAATTCACAGAGAGATATAAATAGTTCAGCATAGAGAACTTCACTAATAATAATAATAATAATAACACCCAAATCTTTATTTGCCAAAATATAGAACACTTTTGAGCAACCATTAAGAGCATAAATTAAATTTAAAAGAAAAACTCAATCCACCAAAATAGAAACATAACACAATTTTAAAAAAGCTCCCCAATTTCAAAAAAAATAAAAATAAAATGGAAGGTCGAAACTTTACGTGCAAATCAAAAGACAAGAAGAAAAAAGAAAACCCAAATTCAACAAAAAAAATTGAATCTTTCAACATGCAAAAGCAGAAACAAGCAAAAAAATTAGCAGTGGTTAGAGAGAGAGAGAACACCTTTCTTTGCCTTCAAATTCCAGTACATTTTCTCCAAATGAAGCCTCCACCGAGTTTTCATCCTGTTTTTCCTCCAATTTTTTTTCCTTTTCTTTTTCTTTCCCAGAATTTTCCACGCTGTTGGGACCCACTCTAGCCTTGTTTGAATTAGGCTCCTTCTCCAGGGGAGGGTATTTCTGTCTTCTCGATTCAGGGGGTGCAGGCTTCTCCAGGCGTCTGTTCCTTAGTTGCATGTAACACCCATCACCACAGCCTTCAGCCGCCACCCCCGTGGAGGCGGCGGCGGCGGCTGAAGATTTCTCTAGGCGTTGTAGTGCTAGCGTTTTAGCCCTTGTCCGAACCCCGAGTGAGGATTGGGCATGGCTCACCGCCACTTCTCTTGTTGTCTTTGACTTTCTTATGTACTTTCCCATTTCTTCTTCTTCTTTCCTCCACTATTCTCTCGCTGTGTCTCGTTCTTGTATGAATGTGGGCTCTCTATCAAAACATCACTTTATACAGTTTTAGAAGGATTGAGAAAGAGCCCAGGTTGGGGTTCAACCTATTTTTTTTTTTGAGAAAGAACCCAGGTTGGTGTGGTTTACAGGGTTTTTAGGTTAGAGAGAGACTGGGAGTTCTCACTGTACGATCCTTGGTATACACGGCGGAAGGAATAAGAGTAGCGGAGGCCAGGGGGGGTGGTGGTTATACGAATAATCCTAATTGAAGATTATCTCCTGGGATGTGAAGAAGATATACTCAATATCTCGGCTCTTTTGTCCTCTCTTTTTGTTCTAACAATGGAGTCAATATTATTATAAAATAATGTGCATGATATTGAATTTTCTTTACAAAAATATTAATTTTTTATTGTTATTTCACTATTTCAATCATCATTTTTTTACTTTTTTTTCTCTCAAGAAGGACCCACTTTTTCTCTCTAACGATCAAAAAATTAATTTTCAAAATCACTATCGAACAAGCTTACAATCTTTTTATTTAGAGAGAAAAGTATGTTTTATCTGTGAATGAAGAAGTAAAAAATGACACTTATAATATTGAAATAACAATCAAAAAATTTATTTTTTGAATAAAAAATTACTACCAAACAGTGACTTAATCATTCAATAGGATAATTAATGTAAGTAAAAAAATTTATTTGGGTAATTAAAATGTCTCTATCTTTTAATGCTTTTGTGAAAAGCATCCCTACTTTTCATTTTATGATATTTTTACTCTTATCTTTTACATTTTATTGTTGAAAATGTCGTTTTGCCTGTATACCGTTAATTGCTATGTCCGTTAATTGCTATGTTAACTCAATACAAAAAGGCAAACTTTCTTTTCAAAAACCAAGGTAATATATTCCTGAATTGTTCATAGCTATCAGTTCCCCTTCTTAAATGCATCTTGGATTTTGGAAAAAGAAAATTTGCTCTTGTTTTCTGATGATCTTCCCACATTCCTGAAGAAACCCGACCCTAGGTATTGTTCGTGGGTTCATGAAGGTTTTTAGAGAGGATCATGAAAATCTCATGTGGCTAGGAATGTGAGATGATGATTCCATATTTTTTTCTCGATTATATTGTTGAAATTCTTGTAATGTTTGATCATACTAAGTATTATTACCTTGGTAGACGATCAGAATTTATTTTTTCAAATTATTGGTTGAGCCATGCTTCGATACCAGGCAAGGGTTCTACAGAACTCCTACAAAACACACACAAACAGGGGTGGGGTGGGGATTTTTGGGGTCATTTTTTAATGAGGTGGGACCCACCTCTTGTGAGGGATCTGGAAAGCTTCTATTGAGATGGTTCTGTACATCCATCAAAACTCTTATTGGTTCTCATCTAGCCAAAGATTAGGTGGGGCTGGATTTATATTGATAGCTCCTTTGGCAAAATCACTGGCTAAAGGCTGGGAAAATTTTTTGAAGGAGATATCCACATCTTGAGGATGCTGATCAAAACACAATTTCATTTATAGCTAATCATTTAGATCAAAATGCCTTCTAACATCACCGGTAGTTAAACAACCTCATGAGTAAACAGGCAAATCTGTACCCTCAACTTTAAATTTGCTGCTTGAAGAGCAATGCCCAATTTCATCAGCTTGATCAACTCTGCTCAAATCAAGATCAAGTGCTACAGAGCCAGGAGCCTGCCACTCATTCAGTGTCATACCACGGTTAGTTATGAAATCAGATGTAGAATTAGCAGATCAACTGACAGTAGCAGGATGGAAGATCCTTTTCGCAATGAAAGATGAAAATAATAGTGAAAATACCCAAAAAAAAAAATGAATGGTCAAAACATTTTACACAAAATCATTAAAAGGAATGGATGTTTTGAACTAATTATCCTCCTTTTTTATTTAATTTTTTTATAGTCAAGCCGTTCAACTAATGCAAATTGCCCCCTCAATCCTAATAAAAGGGGCAAAAGAGAATATGTAACCAAGCACTTGCTTGGGAGTTTTGGGGATTGATTATGTATATTTTTTATAATCTCAATTTTGGACATTTTTGAGAAGATCAATTTTGATTGATTTTAGTCCCGTTTAAATCAATCCAACACACACTAGAGAGTTTATTATTCAGCATTTTAAAAAGTTTTTTAAGAAAAATAAAATTACATATATATCTTTTAGTTAAATTTTGAATTTATAACCTTTTATACAAGTCCTCTTACTCATAACTAATATTTTATTAATAAATATATATTTTTTTTTCCATAAAAGTGAATTTTTATCTTATAAGTTCATCTCCAAAAAACTCTTTATATATAAGATGCTCTTTGTTTTAGAGAGTCAATTCTTAAAATTATACTCTAAGAGACCCTATAAATTAATATTTTAAAATAGGGAGTTAGTTAAGGTCTCCAAATTTAGCGAGTCAAGCCCAATTTCTATAATTAAATACATTCAAAGTATTTTCGATTTTTAATAAAGGAAAATAATATAATAATTTAGAGGGAAGTTAATGAAAATAAAAGATAGAAAAATAATATATATATATATATATATATATATATATATATTATTAGGGTAGTAAAATTAAGTATTAAATATAAAGAGTCTGTTGAAGCATTTAAAATTTCTTACTCTCTAAATTTATATATGCTCCCTAAATTACAAATATGCTCTTTAATTAAAAATAAAGATTCGTTTGGAGATACTCTTAGTAATACTTATAAGCAATACAAAAGTTTTGAATAAAGTATGTGGATTGAAAATAATTATTTTTAGGGATGAAATTGAAAGAGAATTTGAAAAAGGCAAAAACCCATTGCTAAAAAAATAACAAGTACCGATTTTTTCAACCTCCTATAAATCGTGTCCCCCGACAGCAATCAAAATCAGTGAAAAAATTCTCAAGCAGGCCCTAAGACTTACGAACTCAGCTGAAAAAAGCTCTTTATATTGTAGGCTACCTAATCTTCGAGAACGAGAAATGGAATAGCAGAAACAAAAGTGTACATTGACAACAAATAATTTTTGACAAAGGGTTATTCCCCTTGTACATCAAGAAATGTGAAGGGTGTGAACACCTTGATGTTGTATCCCAATATATATCAAGAATAACCCTTGACACTATAAGCATGTTTGAGCCTCATTTTTTAAAATTCATTTTTTTTCCATAACTTATTTTAAATCACATATTTTTCTAATAAAATAACTTTGCATGTAAACCTAAAATTTTCACACTTTTTACTATACATTCTTGAAAAAATTACTTTTCATAAAATTTATTCTAAAAAAATTTTGACTCTAAGAGGGAATTGACGATTAAAATATACACTAACAGTTGAAATTCACATCATCTTCGTACTTTAGATAAGATATTGAAGTAACATTGAAATTTTTGGAGACAAATAAAAGACTATACCCCTGCTTGGGTCTTATTTTCTAAAAGTTATTTTTTCTCAAACTGATTTTCAACCTACATTTTTTAATAAAATAATATTGCATGCGGAATCAAAATTGTTTCCTACTCATTAATCACACATTATCCAAAAAGATTAATTTTCACATAATTTATTTTTAAAAAAATCTCTTGCAAGCAGGGCCTATGTATATATAAAGTAGTAGAGTATGCTAAAATTAAATCCATCAAGTTTTATATTTTATTTTTATTTTTCTATGAGAGGTGAGAGAAAAATCAGAAAGATTGTAAATATTAATTTCTTGAGTTATTTAATTAATTCATTGGAAGTGTTGGGAAATATTACGCAATTTCCTTTATTTCTATTTGATAACAATATAATGAATCTTAAACCAATATGTTGAATCAATTCAAAAAGAAGAAAAGAGAAGAGAAGAAGAAGAATAAAGAGAGAACCAAAATCTATTGAGCCATTGGAATTCAGATTTTCAAAGAAAGTAGAAACAGTTTTTATACTACTACAAGGAAACCTAAAAATAATAAGAAACCTACAAAAAGGAAATTACATATTATGCTAAAATAAATAACTAAATAACTAACACACGTTTTCATCCCCCCTCAAACTCAAGATGCTAAAGCAAGAAGCAGTGAGAATTTGTCACGCAAAAAGCAAAAATGATGAACCGGATGAGACTTAGTGAAGAAGTCAGCAAGCTGCAACGATGAAGAAACAAAAGGTAGGGAAATGGTGCCAGTCTACAGATGATGACGAACCAAATGACAATCAATCTCAATATGCTTTGTGCGTTCATGGAACATAGAATTGTGAGAGATCTGAATGGCACTAGTATTATCACAATACATGGGAGTTGGGGAGGAATGAGAAACACCCATATCTACAAGTAACCATCGCAACCACACAATCTCAGTGGTGGTGGATGTCATAGCTCGATACTTTGCTTCTGTAGAGGAGCTGGAAACAACAGTCTGTTTCTTACTTTTCCAAGAGATAAGTGAATCACCCAAAAATACACAAAAACCCGTAGTGGACTTGTGATCAATGGGGTCGCTGGCCCAATCAGCATCAGAGTAAGCACGGAGCACTAAGGATGAGGTCGATGGAAACAAAAGACTCTGAAAGCATGTACCACAAAAATAACGCAAAATACGAACAACTGCTGCCCAATGAACTGTAGTAGGAGCTGAAACAAATTGACTAACAATGTGAAAGAATAAACAATATCAGGACGTGTGATGGTAAGATAAACTAGACATCCAACAATAGTGCGATACAAAGTGGAATCAGTCAATGGCACACCATCAGAGGATGAATATCGAACATTGGACTCAAGAGGAGTATCAGCAGATTTATTATCAGTAAGATGAGCACGCTCAATGACATCCATAGAATACTTGGACTAAGAGATAAGATAACCTCTAGGAGAAGAAGCAACTTCGATCCCCAAAAAATAAGACAGTGTGCCCAAGTCCTTCATTTCTAAATGACAAGCCAATTCTGATTTCAAACTTGCAATTCCATCAATATCATCACCAGTAATAATCATATCGTCAACATATAGCAATAATAGAATGCGACCAGTTGAAGTGCATCTAAAGAATAAAGTGGAGTCATGATGACTGGATGTAAAACCAAGAGAGCTAACAACGGTGGAAATTCTCTCAAACCAGGCACGAGGTGCTTGTTTGAGGCCATAAAGTGCCTTCTTGAGTTTGCAAACAAATCCAGGAGAGTGAGAAAGCCAGGAGGAAGAACCATATAAACCTCATCTTGAAGATTTCCATTTAAAAAGGCATTTTTGATATCCAATTGAGAGAAACTCCACTGACGAACAGATGCAACTGCAATAAGTG